ACTGGGACAGCACTGCCGGCATGGCCGCTATGTGCGGCAGCATGCCGTGACTGGCCCTTGCCGGCCGTTCGGCCACTTCCCTTGACCAAAATGACATAACATGACATGATTAACACATTTATATATACATGGGTCTGAGGGTCATGGTAAAAACATGAAATTTGATCTTATTTGACATGATGGGCCACGGCGTGCGCGATAGGCGCGTCCGACGGCCCTAACGTGTACCCTCGACCAAACATGAACTTTTCTCGGGCAACATGAGTTGATTGACCATATTTTATCATTTAAAGGCTGTTGGAATACAAATGTCCATAACAAAATTGATCACAATGAAAGATACCCTAGTAGGGTAATTTGCTTTCCCCAGCTGGTGTCGTCCAAGAGGAAGCAGTTGGTATTTGACTAAAGGATCAATGGGGATCGCTATAGGATTGCCCAAGACAAGCATTGGATTTCTTTTTTTTTTTTTATCTAAGACTCCGAAGTCTTCTGCGTGCCTTATTCCACCCTCAAAAAGGATTTTCGTAGTTTTTCCATATTATATATAGAATCCAATATAGAATCCAAGATTCCCATTTTTGAAATCAAAACCCGTGGGAAGATCCCTACCCTTTGACTCGAGGGAAAACGTAAGTGCGCTCCTGCGCACCAGCTTCGCTACCTTTCCCTTAGTTGTCGGGCGGTCGGCGGAAACTACGAAAGAGATGCTGGCAACGGTCGCATCTGTCCTGTAACTGTCCTATAGGTAGGTGGTATAGGCGGTCCAATCGATTACGTCCTGCTTGACTGCGTCGACTCTATGCCTTCCGGCTAAGAAAGTTCCAAGTTTTGTCTCAAACTGGTAAGCAAGTCAGTCCCCCTATGGAGAAGAGGGGAGAAAAAGACTTCTCTGCAGTCAAGATAGAGGTTGAAAGAGGATCAGAAGCAGTCTCACTTCGCTCTCCTCTGTTTTATCCCATAAAGCAGTATTATCCTAACCTAATATATATATAAGGATAAAGTGTACAAAGTTTACATTGGGTCCTAATCAAGACTAAGCTGATCAAGCTTGCTTAGCAACTTGGACTAAAAGAAAAGGCTGGATGTCTTCAACTACACGGCCCGTGGGCGCGTGCTACGTGCACGGTCCACTTCCTTTGGCCATTTCATCAACAAATCGACAACTTACCTCGGGCTATCTTTTAAGACTGAACATTTAACATTAAATAATGACTAATAATGCATGGTTTGCTCGAGAGAAGTCGACTACATAAAGAGATGTTATAATATGGCCTAAAATGCACACCCGAGAGCATTTTCGAAGATTACATGAACTTAGACCCATAATTTGAACTTGGTATGATATATATAACATCATAATAAGGTTAGGAGAATATTACCCTTTTGTTCCCCGAGGAAAATTAGCAAGATGTTGATGATGGTTTATTCCTTTTTCCTTCCTTTGTGCGCGTACGTAAGTTGTGATTAAAATATCTTAATCTCGATTATAGTTTTCTTAGGACATAGCTTAAGTTATAAGATGAAAATATGTCCAAGAGTTTGGATTTATAGGCGTGAAAATGGATCAAAACTTGAAGTAATATGCGTGACCAATGAGCTCGTGGCAAATGGCACGTCCTAAGGGCACGAGGTGGATTTTTGCTTGCTTAGTCACCACATACTTGGCACAAAAGGACCACTTGGCTAAAGTGATGGATATTCACGTGATTTTGCCCCAAATTTCCATCCACTTGAGTTCATTAATTAGTTAAGCACGTTTAGGGCTCGATTATGCGTGATTACCCTAGATTAAAGCGATTAGAAGAAAATTAAGCACCCTAGCCGTGCCATGAGCAATGTTTAAGGACATATGATAGTAGAATAATTACTTAGGCTTAAAATGAACATAATTGAGGTACTTAAGGAACCATTAAGTACGATTATGCGTATGATTACGCACGATTAGCGCAAGATTAGCACATTTATCGCTCGATTAAATATGATTTAATTTGATAATATTTTTATCGGGCGATTGAACATAAATTGACTTATACTTTGGATTCCGAGAATAATATGAACATTACGAAGCTAAGTACGTAATTTACATTAGGTAAAAATGGGCTATTACAATCTGCCCTCCTTAAAATATTTCCGTCCTCGGAAATATCAAACTGAACACCTATACATGATACATGAGAAATATATACATCAAAACTGAAAATCAGGAAAACGGGCGCGAATATCAGCTTCTTGCTCCCAAGTGGCACCGTGGCGATCCCATTGAATACGAACGAGGGGAATCTCGCGATTTCGGAGTCGACGAACCTCTCGGTCCAAAACGGCTACCGGTTTCTCCTCGTAAGATAAGTCTGGCTGAATCTGAATATCGGTATGCTGAAGAATATGATCTGGATCGCACACGTATTTACGTAACATGGACACATGAAAGACATTATAAACATTGGATAATTCAGGAGGTAAAGCTAAACGGTAAGCAACTTCGCCCACTCGTTCGAGAACTTCGAACGGGCCAATATAACGAGGATGCAACTTTCCTCTCTTTCCGAATCGAATGATCCCTCGGAATGGACGAACTTTAAGGAAGGCTCGCTCCCCAACTTCAAATTGAATATCGCGTTTATGTTGATCGGCTGAAGATTTCTGCCGACTCTGAGCCGCCTGGAGTCTTTGTTTGATCAACTCCACGTCTGCCGCCGTTTTCGCGATCCTGTTCGGACCAAGTACTCGGCGTTCACCGACGTCGTCCCAATAGAGAGGGGAACGACATTTACGACCGTATAGTGCTTCGTAAGGAGCCATTTGAATAGAAGAATGATAACTTTTATTATAAGAAAATTCGCATAATGGTAATAGCGACTCCCACTTAGAACCCCTGTCAACAACCAAAGATCGCAACATATCTTCCAGTGTTTGAATAGTCCGCTCGGATTGTCCATCAGTCTCTGGATGATAAGCGGAGCTAAACTCTAATCTCGTGCCCATTGCCTTGTGCAAACTTTCCCAAAATCTGCTAGTGAATCTGGGATCTCTGTCTGACACGATAGTGACAGGCACTCCGTGAAGTCGGACAACTCCCTCGGTATAAATCTCGGCTAACTTATCCAAAGACATATTCATCGATACTGGCATAAAATGAGCAACCTTGGTCAATCTATCCACCACGACCCAGATAGCATCATGATGTTTAGATGACTTCGGTAGCCCTGTGACAAAATCCATCGTGACTTCCTCCCACTTCCACTTCGGAATCTCGAGTGGTTGCAGAAGGCCCAAGGGACTCTTGTGTTCTGCTTTGACTTGTTGACAGGTTAAACATTTTCTTACAAAATCGGCAACGTCCTTCTTCATTCCACGCCACCAGAATGATCTCTTCAGGTCATGATACATCTTCGTACTTCCCCGATGAGCTAAATAAGGTGCGGTATGAGCTTCAGACAAAATTTCTTTCCGCAACGCTTCGACTTTCGGTACCACGATTCTGCCTCGAAATTCTAAGGCTCCATCCGAACTCAATTGGAAACCTTCGACACCTCCGGCACGGACTTTAGCAGTAATAACACGAATAAATTCATCAGACATCTGTTCCTGCCGGATTCTCTCCCTTAACGTTGGTTGAACCTGCATAGCACTAACACTCCCAATAATCACCGTAGGAAGTGCATCAACAATCTGAATATGCATCCGAGCGAATTCTTGGATAAGATGGTTCTGCTGAGTAACAACGTAAGTCAAATCACCCTTCACCTTGCGGCTTAGGGCATCAGCAACGACATTCGCCTTCCCCGGATGATATTGAATGGTACAATCATAGTCTTTCACAAGCTCTAACCAACGTCGCTGTCGCATATTGAGCTCTTTCTGAGTGAAAATATATTGCAAGCTCTTATGGTCAGTGAAAATTTCGCATTTGCCACCATACAGATAATGTCGCCAAATCTTGAGGGCATGTACCACTGCTGCAAGTTCCAAGTCGTGTGTAGGATAATTCTGTTCATGCGGCTTTAATTGACGAGAGGCATAAGCAACGACCTGGCCATCCTGCATTAGAACACATCCCAGACCCTGTTTCGAGGCATCACTGTAAATGGTGAAACTCCGAGTAGGATCCGGTATAATTAATACCGGCGCAGTGGTCAATCTCCTCTTGAGCTCTTGAAAACTGGACTCACAACGATCAGTCCATTTGAACGTGACAGACTTCCTTGTCAATTGGGATAATGGGAGGGCAATTTTGGAAAATCCCTCAATAAACCTGCGATAGTAACCCGCCAAACCGAGAAAACTGCGAACCTCGGATGGATTCTTGGGTCTGGACCAGTTTTGAATAGCAGATATCTTGGATGGATCAACCTCAATACCTGCCTGCGTGATAACATGACCAAGGAAAGTAACTCGCTCGAGCCAGAATTCGCATTTGGAGAATTTTGCATATAACTTTTCTCGCCTAAGGGTTTCAAGAACAACCCTCAAGTGCTCCTCGTGTTCCTTCTGGCTCTTCGAGTAGATCAAAATATCATCAATAAAAACAATAACAAACTGATCAAGATAAGGGTGAAATATACGGTTCATCAAGTCCATGAATACTGCCGGGGCATTACTGAGCCCAAACGGCAATACTACGAACTCATAATGACCGTAACGCGTACGAAATGCAGTTTTAGGAATATCTGACTCTTTGATTCTCAGCTGGTGGTAGCCTGAACGGAGATCAATCTTAGAAAATACACAAGCTCCCCTCAGCTGATCAAATAAATCATCGATTCTGGGAAGCGGATATTTATTCTTGATAGTTAACCGGTTAAGATCCCGGTAATCAATACACATGCGCATAGATCCGTCCTTCTTCTTGACAAAAAGAACGGGTGCTCCCCAAGGTGAAATACTCGGCCGAATAAAACCGAGTTTAAGTAATTCCTGAATTTGAGTCTTTAACTCCTGTAACTCCTTCGGCGCCATACGGTATGGTGCTTTGGACACAGGTCCGGCCCCTGGAATAAGATCAATAGAGAACTCTACCTGCCGGTTAGATGGTCCTCCTGGAAGTTGGTCTGGAAACACGTCCACGAACTCACGAACAATAGGAACGTCGTGAGGTGTTCGTGCTTTCGGTTCATCGCTGATAAGACTTACAAGATAACCCTGGCAATCATTGCGCCGCAACATCTTTCTGGCTTTCGCCATAGAGATAACATGTGGTAAGGTACGAGTCTTGGAGCCATAAAAGGTAATAGAATCATCTCCCGGAAGATAGAGAGTAATCTCCCGGTCGTGACATCGAATATCTGCATGAAAATATGTTAACCAATCCATGTTGAGAATGAGGTCGAAATCCCTCATCTCGAGAACATAAGCTTCGGTAGGCAAGACACGTCCACCGATAGAAAGGCTAAGATTGGTTGCTTTAGCATCAGTTACTATCTTTCTTCCCGAGGCTAGACTCACCTCGAGAGGATCGACAGCAGAAATAGTATGAACCCCAATGGCGTCAATACATCGTCGTGAAATGAAAGAGTGTGTTGCACCAGTATCGAATAAAGCGAAAACAGGAACATCATTAAGTATAATCATCCCAGACATGGTACCTGGGTGTTGAGCTGCTTCCGCTTGATCGACTGCATACACACGTGCTGGCTGTCTCCCGCGTTGCTGTTGCTGAGGCTGTCTCGGTGGCTGCTGTCTGGGCTGCTGAGGTTGTTGAGGTTGTTGTTGCTGTTGCAATCGTGGACAATTCGGTCGGATGTGACCAGGCTGTCGGCAGTAGTAGCAAGTGTTCTGGCCCATCAAGCAATCTCCGCGGTGAATCTTTCCACAAGTGGGGCAAGGTGGTATAGGTTGCTGCTGTCGCTGACGGTTCCTGCGGTCATCTGAGCCTCCCTTGTTCTTCCTCTTGTTCTTGAATCGTTGTGGTGGAGCGGCTGCGGGTTGAACGTTTGGTATTAAGGATTGAGTGGAGGAAATTGGCTGAAGACGATC